TTTCTATTTATGTAGAATATTTTTTCAAATGGCTATCAAGTTGTTAAGGCATAAATACTTAAGTTGTCTGAACCTAACTTCTTAATAAACAGAACTGTTATTAATTCTTTCAGCCTGGGGGTGCCATGAAAAGCTACTGAGAGATGTCATGATCAAAGAAAACTGGGAGCCTCTGGATAGGCAACAAGTCAGTATCTTTATAACAAATCAGTGTAAATCACTTAACTCTTTGCTATTGGCATACAGAAATGAGAATACGCAAATTTCAGGAAAAAAGAGGTCAATAAAACTATCCAAAGATTTAAGCAAAGTTGTAAGTTTCTTAACCTTTGAGAAACCACCTTTTGTACCCTATAGGCCAGAAGGAATCCTGGATTAAGTCTGAGATGTAGATGATCAATATTCATTTATTGAAAGAACTAATGACTGCAAATCCTTACGTGAATCAACTGCACAAGAACAGGTTCCAGATTGCAGAACATTGACCTGGACTCCACATAAAAACTCAGCTGTTGTTCAAAATCACGGCCAAAGGAGACCTAGAATCAAGGAGAAAGACGGTGAAAGGGACAATATTATTTTCAGAGGGAACACAAGCGAAAATCAAAACAAAAAAAAAACACAATATAACTGAAATATTATTATTACCATCTCATCTTTATGACACGGGCATTGACCTAGAACATAAAAAGTCAAAGGGTATAAAATGGAAGCTCAAAGTGTAAATAGAATTTTCCAGGCTTGGAAGGAAACCACTGGAAAGAGAATAATGGAATTTTGTTTGTCAGCTGTGGCCTTTTCACAGAACATAAATTTGGTTGTTGGGAGCCATTTGTCAGAAGGTTTTCCGTAAAAACAATCATACCTTTCTGCCTGCTGATGGAGAGCCAACCTCAGCAACTTACTGGTGATTGCCGTAACCACAGCTGGAAGTTTTTTCACCATTAAAAATCCCCTCTTCTCCTAATTTCCTCAAATTTATGAACAGCTGGTTAGTAGGAAAAACTTTACTACATCCATCATCTTTGTGCAGAGGAGGTTTAACATTGCTATTTCCATTAGAGCTATCAGGTTTCACACCTTATTTCCTCATATTCTTTTCCATTATAACTCAGTAACTTTCAGACTGAACCATAAAGATAAATACCTCACGATCAGTATATAAACCAAGGGCAAAGGAGAGTCACCCGGGAAAATCCACGGGTACATTTCCCAACGTGGAAACTGAAAGGCTGATCCTGAATTTTCATCAAAATTGACATTTTACCTACAGTCGTGTGGACAGTTAAATCAACCCCCATTGTTGAACAAGTCACAACTTCAAGGTTATTTACAACGTGATCTCGGTCAGCTTTGGTTCTGGCATTTCCATTAAAACAGAAGATACTGGCAGCAGTTGGTGTTTTAGCTTTGAGCACCAAGAATGGAGGCAAAGATTGTTCAGGCTACAATGGTATAACAGTGGGATGTTTCCAAAGAAGGCTGCAATAGTCCCTTCCACTCGGCTTGTCCTTTTGCAACATCTCTTTGGACTCTCCCCATCAAGGGGCGCAGTCGCTCCCCCTGCCCTCCATCGGGGCTGGCCCTGTGACCTGTTCTGGCCAACAGAATGCCACAGAATGCAGCAGAGGTTCACTGTGTGATTTCTAAACCACAGCCTTAAAAGGCCTTGCAGCTTCTGTTTATGCCCTCATGGAAGCCAGCACCATATTAGAGCGTTCAGCTGAGACCACTGAATTAAGAGAGGACACTAGAGAGAAGAGGGCACATGGAAGAAAACCGAGACACCCCAGCCCACAGGATGTGCCAAGACCCTGCACATGTGAGCAAGGCCGTTCTGAATCCTCCAGCCCAATCTTGCTGCACCATACACACCACATAGGACAGCCTGGTTACCCAGCCAATCCATAGAACTGTGGAAACTAATAAAACACTCTTATTTAAAGCCACTAAGTTTTGGGGTGAGTTGCTATGCTGCAGTAGATGAGCAGGATGGACGGGTTGCAGGGTGGTGGTCAGATGTCATAGTTTCCGCCATTACCTGATGATCAGCACATCAGCTGGTTCTGGGGCCCCTTTTCTCTACACTCAGTCCTGGTGATTCAGGTCACCCAGGTGTGTATATGATTCCCAGGCCTAGCCAACTGGTGTGTTTGGGCTCACAACCCACGTTAATCCAAAGAGACTCAGTCCTAGGACTTCTGGGGGAGTCCCTCCTGCTGGGCTGCAGAGCTAGGGGGGTGGAAACCTGGAGCTGTCGTGGGGAGTGAGCCCGCCTGAGCAGGAAGCCAACAGGGCAGAGTGCTGAGCCAAAGAGGGACAAGGATGGCAGGTGCTGAGGACATCACGGAGACCCCGAATCCAGCTGCTCCTTCAGAAAGTTCCATCCCTGGACTTTTTGTCACATATGCCAAGAAATGCCCCTTCCTCTCCCCCCGTTTTTTCCCTTAAGCCAGTTTGTCTTGGCTCTCTTTGCCCCCAGGAGAGTCCTGGCTAATGTAAGATGTTTTCTAATTTCATCTTATCTCAGTAAGAATGAAAAGCACAGGGAACGTAATGTTAACTGCTTTCACCAGAATAAAGATAAACAATTACATCACATTTCCAAGGGCACTAAAACTTCTTCCCTAATACTTACCATTTTTATAAATCCATTAATCAAATATGCCAGCATTCTTTTCTCATCTTCAAGAGTGAGTGCACTAAAATCAATAATTGTACATAATTAACACTGAGGCAAAAAATGAAAGGTTCTAAAGAAAAAATACACAAGAGGTAAGCAATTTAATAGGTAAGAACATTTCGCATTTTTCTAGACTTTAAAAAACTCCCAACAGGCTGTATATTTTTCTTTTGATAAAAATATGTAACCGA